TGTAGTACATGATAAAGTATCTATATTAGACCCTTTCAGATTTAAAAGAACACAAGGTGATAATGTAGAATTTTTCCTTACTCACGAGTGCTTAGGTCAGAAAAAATAAATTTTCGTCGGAAAATATTCTAAAAATCAAATTTCACTAATAACAAACTTTGCAATTTTTAATGCAACCAGATTTTCTGCAAAACAGAATACCATAATGAAGAAGTAATATGCTAGTGGAACAATTAAAACTGACAGCGTCAACCAGAAGTTTTGTTGTAATTTTATATTTGTTAATAAAATCACATATATAGTTGTTACATATACGTTTTCAAGTAATAATTCTTGCAATTATGATTGTTTTCATTTTGGAAAAACAACGAAACATTCTCTAAATAATTGATTACCACATATTATCTTAAATGTTTAGTGTTCTGTAACTTATTCGTCTCTTATTATAGTGTTCTGTTCTGTATTTGGATGTGTATGGTCTTTTAAGGTCTAAATTCGAAAACACTCAGGTAAATTGTATTGAACTTGCCCGCTTTGGAAAAGAGCCATTTTTCAGAATCATCTTTCCAGCAAAAAGATTGCGAATCGTGCAAATGGCACACTACTAGAGATGACACAAAATAATATTGCCATTTTGATGATTAAGGTCAATGACATTTTCATATTGAGTATCAGATTATAGAAGAAACTGTAGAAAATATAGGTAAACTATATATTTAATAAATTTGTTAATAAATTAATTGAGGATGATTAAGAAGAGAAAACTCTTTTTAATAAAACATGCCCTCATGCTTTCTTATCGATCATCTTTGCATGCTGTAAAGAACTACTTCCCTGGTATTCAGCTTTTCCTCGATAAAGTTAGGAAAGTTGCCCTTCACAAAAATAGTTTCAAAATTCGTACTTTTTAATAGATTTGAAATGCTGGAGTTTTCAGGTAACTGAATAGTTTTATCAATATTTAAGATCTGTTTGTCTTTTTTCTTGCTTCGACGGTATTCGGGTTTTTTGAATTTTGATGTGTTAGCTTGAATTTCATTTGAACTGGTAAACCTCAAGCCATGGTTTGCTTTTATTTTGAGTGAAATACTTTCACATTATAGTCCTAACTTTCTGTTAAACATTTCCACAACATCTTTCTTTTTGTCTGAGTGAGTTGAACAGTATTCAATGTTTACCTTTTCAAGAAAATTTTAATTTTTTTCTTTGTTGTAAACTTTTTTCTCTGAGAAAGTGTATCTTTTGAGGATTACACTCTTTTAAAATTTACACAAAAACATAATCAGTGTCATTTCCCCTTTTCAGCGCAATAATATTTTGAAATACGTCTTATTTGTATCCATTTTTGTCCTTTTCGTATGCTTCATGACAGATACGTCTGCCTGGCATTGGGCATGCACGTGATTAAAATAGATTATTCTATATGGAATGTTTTGTTCTGGCCTGCTTGCGGAATATGTGGATAGGCCGCTCCGTTAACCAATCTTTTAATTCAACGCATTTTATTTCTGATGTGTCCCGTTTAATTTGTTCTTACAGCTGACCGTTATTTATATAATTAACTATATTTTGAGTATTGTGGTAAAGATTCTTAATATGTTATGGGTATATGCTCTTAAAATATGTAAAAGAGAAGAGTGAAAAACTATAAGCTTTGAATACTTCAACAAATAATTATTTCCCTATAATATAAAGTAAAAATAAAAAAAAATGAACTTGCTATATTGCGAATTAAATCCCAAAATAATCCTTGAATTACAGACACAAGTCCTAATAATTTAAAGTTCTGAATAAACTTTAGTAGAAATCCAAATTATGTCCAATACTGAAGTGTTCATGTTAGTAATGGCCTGTATAATGTTTATGTGCCAACAGTCCTTTGTTGAAACACATTAATATAATTCCAGGTTTGAATTCACTATAAATCCAAGTCTCTATTTCCAGGAATGCTATAAGAGCATCTTCGTATTTGAGAAAAAAATCACTTGAATGGAACAATCTGAAAAAATAAATTCCAGCCTTAATAAATACTGAACATAACTGAACATAACAATAATATAAATTGATTCTGCTAATTATTAAGCACGAATGAATATTTTTCCCAGTACAAGATTATAAAGTCTCTTACTTTACCTAATGGAAAATAGCCTTCTCGAATTTCTTAATATTTGAAAAAAAATGTTAGCTATAAGTAACAGTCTATTACTATATTTATAATATATAACCTGGACAATGTCAGGTCTACCAGGTAAATGTTACGGTATCCAAAAATCTAGACCCAGACCCAAAGAAACTTATTTACTCATACACATAGAAGGATATTTTAGCTATGTTTTAGTTGTTTACAGAATAAAAAAAATTATAAATCAATAATTCAGGTCAAGTAGAAAATCCAATATACAATGTTGATTTATAATAATGAAATAAAGAAAATAAATAAAAATGAACTGATTAACAAGCAACGAAATTAAATATGCATAACAAATGCTGTTGTTGAAAGTAATTTAAAACTAAACAGAAACATACATACAATAGTTGTAATTGTTACGTTGGTTATAGATGTTATCAAGAAGCCAACAGGACATCGTTTTAAAACAAACACTTTTATTTTCAGAAATTTGTTCTTCAATCCTTACAAACTATGACAGATTTTGGATGTTGTGCCATTTATGTGTTGAATCTAGACAGCTACATAATATAATGATATACTGAGTCACCGAGTTCTGCTTTAAATCTATATTGGCACTCAAGAAATTGTATTTCTGCTATTTAACTATTGTAGATTAATCTTAAAAACGTTGTAACATCTTGAAATTGTCATGTAAATTTATCCGAATATAGCTGTGTCTGTTAGTCAACATCAAATACATTGTTTAGACATTCATAATGTGCTATTTTTACCATTTCACTTTTAATGTTTCTACGTCTCATTCTCATGTTATCATCATTAAATGTAGACTGTAATCAAGATTCTTTTTTGAAACATTGGAGTATATATTCAGTGATACTTGAAATCAGAAAATTGACGCTTTTATTTTCTTGAATATAGGTCTTTAACCACACTATTTCCCTTCCAAACATGAAAGCAAATAGACATTATCTCAAGAAATGCACATTGCTGTTTTCATGTCAATTTCATTAAATATGTCTATTAACATCTCTGAAAACTGTTAACTTCAATAAAAAGTATCTTAGTGTCATATCGTATATATTTGCAACAAGTTTAAAATTATTAGTCTGTGCTCGCACTTCCGTTTTTACAGTTTCGATGCGCTGGTGCTTGCACTCAAGGCCCACAAATTGACGTAGTGAAAATAATTATTTGCACACTAAATCCGCTGGCTAGTATAGATTTTTATTTGATGTTTCTGTATCATTATACAAGAAATTTGGTGTGTTGCCTTAAAATCTGGGAATTTTTTCCACCATGTTAGAACTTTTACAAATTGTGTTAGTCCCAACGCCTCAAAGTACGCATCCTTCGTTTGTTTCTCTCGGCTCCATGAAGCGAGAACCCCAAATTTAAGGTAATTTTCTTTCATTTTACTCGAAATTGTCAACCAACGCACGCACTCACGTATTTGCCTAGTATGTATGTATGTATGTATGTATGTATGTATGTATGTATGTATGTATGTATGTATGTATGTATGTATGTATGTATGTATGTATGTATGTATGTATGTATGTATGTATGTATGTATGTATGTATGTATGTATGCATGCATGCATGCATGCATGCATGCATGCATGCATGCATGCATGCATGCATGTATGTATGTATGTATGTATGTATGTATGTATGTATGTATGTATGTATGTATGTATGTATTTATGTATGTATGTATGTATGTATGTATGCATCTATGTATATATGCATCCGTTCATGTAATTATGATTTTATCTGTTTGTTCCTATGTATGTCTCTTTCTTTCTCCCTCTATATACTATATGGCATGCATACATCCATACATACATACATACATACATACATACATACATACATACATACATACATACATACATACATACATACATACATACATACATACATACATACATACATACATACATACATACATACATACGCACGCACACACACATACATACACACATACACACATACATACATACATGCATACAGACAGACAGACAGACAGACAGGCAGGCAGGCAGGCAGGCAGGCATACATACATACATACATACATACATACATACATACATACATACATACATACATACATACATACATACATACATACATACATACATACATACGCACGCACACACGCACGCACGCACACACACACACACACACACACATACGCACGCACGCACGCACACACACACACACACACACACACACACATACATACATACATACATACATACATACATACATACATACATACATACATACATACATACATACATACATACATACATACATACATACTCGACCATCCTTTGAAAGTTACATTTTGTCTCATGAAGAGCTGATGAAATGTTTTTATGTTATTGTAAACCAAATGAGACGCATAGCTGTTTATACTTTTGAGTACTAGAAAAATACCAGTTAGCTTTTCCGGTTCAGCTGTTTATCATGTCATTTAGAATAAAGCTAAGTAATAACAGTAATACGATATATCACGTGGAAATTTCCTATGCTACATTAGAGATTTGCTGGCATACACAGACGTAACCATGAGCACACGTTCAGGATGTGCCTCCCGTTAGATGTGATGTGATGTATGTGTGTAACGTAGCTTTAACAATGTTTCAGTCATATCGCTACGAATTTTTTGTCATATGGCTACAATGACTATAGCGTGCACTTTATAGTGTTGTTTTGCACTGGGACATCATGCCGCAGAGATGTAGCATCATGTCCCAGTTAGTCACATTATTCTGACATCAGGCCGACCAGTCTTAATACTAACCTCTTAATGCTGAGCATCAAGCGAGGCAGCTGATAGTACCATTTTTGTAAGTCTTTGGTATGATTCTACCGGGGATCGAACCCATGACCTCCTGCATCCGATGCGGACGCTCTAATCATTAGGCCACCGGAGCGGTTCCATCCCGTCAGAAATAAGTTTCTATAGACTGGTCTTCACATTATGAGGAAGCTGTGAATTCGGAGTTTTCTTCAGGTATTTTAACCAGAAATATTTGGCCTTTACATTTTATTTGTTCGGTGGGGGAAGAGTGTTTGTCATCTTGATTATGATGGTAAGGAACGGAGTACATCTTCAGAAATAATCTTAACAAAGGTCATTAAAACATCTGCGTAATAAATAATGCTGAGCAATATGTCTGGTCTGATTCGTGAATGATAAGGTCATACTCTTGCGGTCTCAAGTCGAACGCGGTTCGTCTAAGTCTGGCGCACATACCACTAATCAGAAAGTTCCAGGCCAATTGGACTGGTTCATCCCGTTGAAATCTGCATACACTAAAATATACGTAACAGGGGCGCCCACATAAACAGAATTGGGGGTGGGGGTGGCTAAGATATAGTGATCAGCTAATAAGTTTTACGGATGTAGGTCAAAACATGCTTGGAGGTAAAAGGAGGGGAGGCAAGTGCCACCTTTCCCTTAATTCTATGTGTGGGCACCCATGATATGTAATGAATTCTTTCCTGGGACCTGGGGACTTTGACCTCGCCATCAATTTGCACTCTAACAGTGTTGTTGCAATATACATTGAACATAAGTGGTCATAAGATGTGTTTTAGGAGTCAAGAGGATTGGCTTGTTTAATGAGTCACTAAAATCATATGCAATTCATATACATTTACAGTTGTTTGGCAAATTGCACTATCATATGTATAGCAAGCTACAGTTAGGCGATCAGCATTCCGAGGATAGTGTTAGGGCAGGTCGGCCTGTTTTCAGGATAATGTGACTGGGTGGGACATGATGCTACCTTGCTGCATAATGCCCCAGAGCCATTTTAAGAAATACGCACGCGAGGCATGTACCTAGGGCCCCGTGCAGCAGGGGACTTCGCGGTGTCAGTTTAGTATAATATTAATAAATTTAACAAAATGAAACACATGCACATGGAAATGAAATGCACTACTCTATATATGAGACTAAGAGAGTAAGGCGTAATTCTGGTTACGTTTAAGGTTAGAGTTGTGCCTAGAGACCCCAAATTTCTTAAAACTCTTTTGCCCAGTGCTAGACATCACTGCAAACTGCCACACTGCAGATTGCAGACATTGTAGTAATATGACTGAAAAAAAATGTTTAATGTTAAAAATCCAAATCACACCATAATATGTATAAACACGGATTATATAAGCTTTGATCTCAATTGCATGTACAAACTCAGATTATTTTCTTGAGCATTGACATACCTTGAGCATTGACATACGTTCATTGACGTTGGAAAACAAAAGTTTTGTGCATCTAAATGCAACTTAGAGCATGATAATGTTATACACAGCGCTAACATATATTCTTTTCCTACACCGCTGAAAAGATTTATGATTGCATGTAGTATTCCGACAATAAACCCGCACTGCTAAATAGACTCTTCCATTTTTAAATTCCCGGATATGCCCGAAATAGTCATGCTTCTTTTCACTTGACTGTACAGCTGACATACAGGTTTATGTATTAATATAATTTTTCATTTGGGGACTTGGAGAATGTACTCTTTATGGTAGAAATACTATAATATTTGACGTATTAGTTTCATTCTAGACGATACTAATACATCGTAAGATAAGAAGCAGGTGAGAGTCACATATCAGGACAAGACAGATAAGTTTTATAGTAAACAACACGATAATTTTGCAGCGTGATTACCCATAATAATCTAACTTGGTCTAATCACGAGGTCGCCCGTGTGACATTTTTCATTAAATTGGTAGTCACTTCACAAAAATCCCATTCGCTTTTGGGAAATCAAGGATCTTTCACCATGGAATTGTTGTTAGCAGCGCTTTTCTGTACTTCCATTGCTGGATTGTCCGCGACAAAACCTACTGTCAACTGTTCCAGTACTTTTCCTTCCACGAAATTATCGCCAAATTATAACGAAACTATCGCCCATGCAATCCATTCTATGACCGTGGAAGGACTCAAACTCTTCAACTCCAAAGCTACTGAGATAAATTTTGTACCAACAGTTAACCAAGATGTTTTCTCATACCAACCCATTTTAGAACATGCACCAAGGGATGGTTTCGGAAATGACTTCCACACCCGTACCATGAATGTTGTCGACAAAATCCTCAGCACGCTTGGAAATTCTAAAGATGGCCTAGGTCCTCACTGGTCAGCCATCGAGCGCGTGGCTCATATATTCCACATGCAGGATCTGTGGGAAAGAATCAAGGCAACCGAATGGCCCAAAGTCCAGCAAACTCCACCGTCTGATGAAGTCTGTACGTGCCTGTCCTCAGTGGATTTCAATGGAATTAAGGTAAATTGAACGATGGTTATATATTCTGCGGGGAGAAGGGGAAAGGAACGCATAACAAAAATGCATTTCCCAATAAGCGCGATTTCTGTAAAATAATCGTTTCCTGACAATTTGTGGAATACATATAAGATTTAACTATATTTTTCTTCAAAATTGTTGGCTCATATTATTATAGCTTTATATGCGTGTATTTTATTCATCAGCGAATATTGTCCAAAACGAAATCTGGTCATAACCATTATTTTGATTGTTATTAATCTTTCTTGCTATTTTACTGTTGTTTAATCTGAACCAAAGGCAGCAATTTATACTCTCCTGCTTTCTGCGTCTTTTCTCTCAGGGAATGTTAGCCGTAGCGTTATAAACAGAAATATATAAGAATATTTTCCCCAATGCATTACCACACAATCTTTATTTCAAAGAGGCGAATAATTTACGGCTCTAATTATTTTACATCGTTTAAAGTAAAGATATTTTAGTTTATTTAGTACAGTGAAGACTTTTATGGTACGTCAAGGATTAAGACGTGCAAGTAAGTGTGTGTGTGTGTGTGTATGTGTGTGTGTGTGTGTGTGTGTGTGTGTGTGTGTGTGTGTGTGTGTGTGTGTGTGTGTGACTAATGGTTGGTCGTGTGCATAGATCGATTAGATACTGGACATATTTAGCGGGTAATACTATGCTTGTTCGTGCTTCCTTTTGTTTCATTTCATACACTTTTATCTACAAAATTCCCATCAAATATCTTACAGGATGCCGTTGGATGGGTGGCTAACCACTACAAGACTGGTACTCCGATCACACTCTTGAACCGTCCCATTCCCAAGCTAACTGATGCTACAGCATGGTCTGTCTGGAAGAACCGACTGCTTCACTACTACACACCAGAAGCCATGCGCGATGCTGCCACCTACCTCTACTGTGTTTCGAAATTCTGGTAGACTTGCTCGCCCAAAATATCTATCATATTGTTTTTGTTTTGGGTTTGGTTTTCTGTTTACTTCTTCAAATAAAACAAATCTCATTTTAAACATTTTATTTACGACTAAAATATATAAAAACTGTTCAGTGGGTATTAAAGCGTTGGTGCATATACATGTGTATTTGAAAAAGGAGACGCAGGAGGAGGAGGGGGGAAATAACTCGATGTCCAAAAAAAGCTGATATTGCTTACTTGGATTTACCCAACATTCGAAGGCAATTTAAATTGTTGAATGGGTTTTAAGATCACCGATCAACTTCAGTAGATAGATGGGGACAAATCATGTATGATATTAACTGGTCCTGAAGTTGTGGTGAAATTAAATATGGCTTTACAAAACTTTGCTTCGGAAATGAAATAATAGCTAGGAATACCTTAAAATCACGTTCACTTGTGTCAGGTATGCATGTATTCCTACAAAATTTTATCATAATAAGCTTGTAAAACTGGATATAACTAAAATCTTACGATATCTTGAATCAAAAAAAAAAATAATAATAATAATAATAATAATAATAATAATAATAATAATAATAAGAAGAAGAAGAAGAAGAAGAAGAAGAAGAAGAAGAAGAAGAAGAAGAAGAAGAAGAAGAAGAAGAAGAAGAAGAAGATTGTCACAAGAAACTTTTCAAAGCAATGTTCAATCAAATTTGGCAAAGTAGTTCAGAAGATTACAAAAGTATGGTTTATATGGATGGAAGGGGATAATGAATATTTGGTTTTTCATTAGAATTCAACAGAGCGGTTATTTCATGTCTGGAAAACACATAGATAGTTCAGTATTGCCACCAAATTTAGTTTCAGGTTATTATTTCATCTTTTATTTACTATATATTTCCTTGAACGATGTGCGTAAATTAAACTACAGTTCGTTTACTCATCCATTCATCAGGTCGCACACTAAACATAAATGCAACAAGTTTGTTACAGTTCACTCTTTAGGTATCATTGACGCCTTTATAGCTAGACAATGGTATTGAGAAAAGAATTTTACCTAATGTTTACAGACAAACTGTCATTTGTGGGACAGTGATCGTTTCCGCCAGACGGAAATACATACTTAATCATACGATCGTTCACAAGTATGTAAACTGTTCAAACTGTTCATAAAAGGAATATATGTATTGTTTAGTAATTTTAAATATTGAAATGAATAACACATGTCTGGCATGACAGAGACACTCTCTCTCTCTCTCTCTCTCTCTCTCTCTCTCTCTCTCTCTCTCTCTCTCTCTCTCTCTCTCTCTCTCTCTCTCTCTATATATATATATATATATATATATATATATATATATATATATATATATATATATATATATATATATACAAGCTTTTATCGAACGTTGCCGCTTTAATTGTTGGCTATTAAATGAATGTGTGTAAATTTTAAACAAAATCTTCAAGATAAAAACCCAAACGGTAGGTATCATCTTGACACTTTCTACAAATACAAAGTGAATAATTTATATTTAAAAAAAAAACAGACAAAGAATATAGCTTGAAATTTTTTAATTTTTTTGCCTGGCCAGGCCATGAATTGAGTGTGAGACCATATTTTTGCAGGTTTGTTTATATGCATTCAGTAAGTTCATATCGATACGTCAGATCGATCAATGTCATGATAATGTTCCTTGATACATTAACAC